TGTTAATTCGCAATATTGTATGCATAATATGTATGTATATGTGTATTATATGTATATTATACGAGTTCTAATAATAAAGATACTGCATAAAATACTTAATTGCGAATCATATAATTTCTGTGGAATTCAGGATTCGAAGAAAGTAATGAATCGCTTTTATTAACATTTTTAAAAATAAACTCATGCAAAAAAAAAGATCTAGCAGAGCGTGGTTTCGATCCACGGACCTCTGGGTTATGGGCCCAGCACGCTTCCACTGCGCCACTCTGCTTATTGACTACACCCCTTCATGAGAGACTTTAGAATGTAAACATGTCAAGAAGCTTACGTCCTTAATAAAAAATTATTTAACGTACACATTTAAATTAAGAACATTATATTATTACATTAAATACTGTAATTATTAATTAATATGATTTGAATTGTTTCTTTCTAAAATGACCAATTATTTATAAAAAAAGGCACCCTTCACGTATTCAACCCTCAAGAAACTGCAACTAGCAGAGTGGCGCAGTGGAAGCGTGCTGGGCCCATAACCCAGAGGTCCGTGGATCGAAACCACGCTCTGCTAAATTTCTTTTTTGCCACGATTTATAAAGAATTTTTGACATGTGAAAACCTAACAAACATAGATTTGTTTGTTAGGATAGATAACATAACAAATCTATATATATAAAACAGTTGACATAAAAACTAGACCTGCTTATTCAGGTTTTAACACATTAGGTTTTTAGAATATTTAGAATTTAGAGATATTTAAATATTAAAAATTTAGATATGCATTTTACAGCGCGTAACATTACGGCAGCTGCTACTTTAAAATTTGCAAAGAATATGACATGATACCTATGTCCTAAAGTCCCGTAACCCCGATAGCGGTCGCACGCCGTATGCACGACACGCAACATCGCGCGAATGGCTGAGAATGCCATTCCTTCATCATTGTCGCTCTGCGAGAAGAAGTCGAGACAACGAGTTCAGGAGTTCACCGAAGTTCATGGACATAAATTCGGCGAATGTCATATGCACCGCAACGTCCATCTTTTTTTTTTAAGACCGTCAATGTCAACATCAACTTCACTTCAATTTTGATTTAATCCTTACTTTTTTAAACTCGAATTAGCAATAAATAAAGAATAAGTTACAATGATATTAATTACAAACGCTAATTAGCATTCATTGAAACTGGTTATTAGCCTATAATTGGCATCTTATATAACTATAAAGAATAAATTGGCATCTTCTTCTAAATTAAATTTTGCTATTACTATATAAATAAATTTATTAATTATACTTTGCGTTGTGAATTGCCCATTTACTGGTTGTTATTTAATCCGGTACATAATAAACAAGTTTGATTTACGATCAACGTAGTTGACATTTTAATGCACTCATATGTTCCGTCGTCCAATTTTAAACTAAACTAACTGGTCGGCGCGCGCGACGTTTTCGATGGTACCAATGCCCTTACATGCATATGCAGATATATTTTTTGGTATGCGAACGACATGCTGTTGTACAACAGTGCGGTGTCGCATAAATCATACGTAAATAGAAATGAAAAGAGGCAAAATGGAAAGCGAATGGACGGCGTCACGCGAGCGGACGCGTGCAACCATCGTCGTAACAATGACGCTTGGCTTATAAGGCACGCGAATTCGCGGCACTCGCTTGCATCTAGTTTCTAAATCGCAATATCAACGCGGAAAGACAGTAAGCTCGTAAAGGTATGTTTTTACATATGTGAGCGAATCAGCGAACGAACGTACGCGTTCGCATATGCCAAGAAGGTTCACGCTCTTACGAAGAACTTCCTTTGTCAATAATATATCCACCCACACGTTATTCAAGGACTCGCCAGTCGATTATGTCTGATTCGAATACTGAATTGAGATACGTAGTACCCGAGTGACGGGTAGTGACACTTGATGAATAGTAAGTAGCGGAAATATTAGCAAAATAATCGAAAAATATAAATATTGTGTACGCGCGTAAGAAGAAAGGTCGGGAAAATTTTATTATTTGTTTAAAAAGAAAAAGAGAGACGAGCAAAGATTGTAGACAGATAATAATAGCAATTATTCTTGGATGAACACATTTTTTCCCGACTATGCGTATCTTTTGTTACAAAGAATTTTTTTATACTCGTATTTTGCAAATTACCAATTTGATACCTAAAATTCAATTAAATTATATTTTAATCCAATTAATTGAGATTAAATTTTGATTAAATCAACTTGATATTGGATCTTAAATTAGATTTTGCATAACAGTTAATTTAATTTAGATGTTTCTGTAATTTGCGTTGGAAGTTTCTACAGCAATAAGCTTCTTATAGATCGAAGCTGTAGCGTGCACCGAGTGTCGAGATCGACGCTGCGCGGCGCGCGATCGGATTCGCTTTGCGGATACAAATAAACATCCCGAGCGATCCAGGTGCGCTTCCCTTTTAAGATCTGGGATCTTAAACTAGCTCCTATATACACGCCAAGCCGTCGTGGCATGCGATTACCAGCTACGATATATCACATCGTTAATATAAGAGAGAAATCTGTACTTTTAGAAATTTCTAATCCTTTCCGTGAAAACACGTATTTTTATGTTCGAAGGGAGAAAAAGAAAGTTGAAAAAATTTACCACGTTAAATGTAATTGCGATAAAATATCTTAGAAGAAATGCTATTTAATTTGCAATATGTGTAAATATGTATTATCGAGAAATATTGCAGAAAATAATGAAAATATATCCGTCTCTAGAGCAAAATTTTAAATTTTGTAAAAAGCTTAATTAATATTAATAATTTAATTTCCTAAATAAAATTTATAGCCTGTTTCTATAACGTGATATTTGATTTAGAAGTTATAACGTAATGTGTTATTCGAATTTCCTAATTCCCTACGTTCGTACAAATTCACTGTAACTTCGCATACATTTTGCAAAGCTGAAACATAGTTTTGGAGAATCATATCGTTTTAACGCAATGTAAATTGATAAATTATGCGTTCTATAAACTTGATACTTTTTTGACACTATACGCAGCCACACAATACTATCTTAATTAGTAGAACTCTAATCTGCAAAAATGTCAAATAAGCATATAAAGCATAACAAAGGAAGGACGGGGGCGGGAACAGCGGCCACGGCGGGCCGGTGACTCCCTTGGTGTAGTTCCTGGTGACGTCTGACTAAGCGTTCTATTTCGACGCACTCTCGGAGGCCGCGTGACTAATCCACCGCGTGCATACATCAACGCAGGTGGAACTCATCCGAGAATGTCGCATTTCGAGATTTGGATTAGTAGGCGAGAGACTCGGGACGTTATGACGGCGTGTTACTCATAAATTCCATATATGACTGTGATTCTATTAAATTTCATTATCATTTTCGTACAGTTTAAATATCAAACGCAGCGTTATATATATTAGGATTAAAAAATTTGAAGAAAAAACAAGAATAATCTATTAAATAAGTAATTGATAAGAGCTCGTCTTTTAATATTTATGATATTGCTAAAACATGTTGACTAATACGAAGATAATAAGTCTGCTAAGAAAAAATTGTCTCTAAATTCAAAACCTCAAAGAATGTCATTCATTAGTTGACTGCAAATAACGAAACCGCGTGTATTATAAATCGTCTACATTTTGCGCCGATTTATTTAAATGGATTTATTAAAATGGAATTGATAAATAAATTTTATGCGCAGTTTTTCGCCAAGGATTTGCTTCGGATCGAGATAACGAAAGGCATATATCTGACCAACAGAGATCTAACACAAGTGTAATTGATACGATATGCAAAACAGAAAGCGTTCCGCGAAAAGGCAATACAGATATACATAAATGGCATGTGTGTCAACACTTTTCAATATTTTCTACGTTACAATAAATCACATCATAGACATTTTTCACGTAAAGCGATAAGGTCATCTGTTCTACGATTTCGCGAATAAACAGAATCTGCTTTCCAAGCGGAATTCTGTTTACAGTATCGCTTTCGTTAGACAACGCGACGAGAATAGGAATAAGCGATCGGCGTGCAAGATTACTTTCGTTGACTTTCTTCTTCTTAATCAAAATTTTTCGCGATCTGATGGATACGTGATGCTTAAACGCGAATTGGTAGAAAGTTCAATTTCGAAAATACGGTGCACGACTGTGCGAATTGCTATGCGAACGGCGTGAGACGCGTTCCCCTTAGACTTTGACACTCGTTAGTCCCTTTTTTTTCGAAATCAAAATGCAACATGCGATGAGCACAACTGCTTGGAATGTCAAATACCTATATTCGATATATACAAACGAAACCTGTCGCGACAAACTATCGATAATTCGATAATAAAGAGAAATGTACAGACGAATTTATATTTCTTTCCCGTGTTCTAAAAAAATTGCTTTTTCCTCAATATAATATTAAATAATATAATATTAAAGATAAACAATGTTATATCAATCAGCATATTTTTAGCGAATAACAGTTTAAATATGCATTTATCGCTTGTCATATCGCGTGTCGCTAGTATAATCAGTTTAATAACTGACTTTTAAAACTATCACTGATGTATAATTGTTATTCTTACTCATTGCTCTTACTATTATCAAGAGAAGTGAATTTTTCACTAGATTAGAACACTAGATTAGATTAGAACTCACCAATTGATATGCTGTTAACATATCTCAGTTATTCGTTATTGTAGAAACAAGAAAAATTTTTCCATTGTAGTAATATTATTAGCAATAAAGTTTTCACATAAAAGGATTATATTTTGAAATAAAGATAATTCCAAGCATAAGTAATAATTTAAAAAAAGAATTTTTTAGAAGATAATATATTGTTTTGTATGTATATTAACAACAAAAATTATTTACTTGAGATTGCGATTAAATGACTTTTTTTATCACTGCTCTTGACAACAAAAGAGTTTTGTCGTTTGTGAAACAATGTTGAAATATTCTTTTATTTTAAAACCCACACCAATACCAAAAAACATGCAAACTCACCCTAACTGCAAATCGAATTTTTTCAATCTCCTGCACAGCTGCGTTTTCCTTCTTCCAAAGGCGGCGAAACAAGTCCTGCCCTCGGCGTTCCTTATTTCCAGTCTGACGGGAAGGGAGAGACGAACGTGTCGCAAGCATCTATAGAAGGATGAGATCTGAAACAAAGGATCCAGATGATGTTAGAAGAGAGAATAGAAGAGGATGAGAAGTCAACAATCATCTTCCTGGTCATAAGTTATATATAGTTCAAAATAAGAATTTAACATTGCTGATAGTGTCAGATAATGTACTGTTTTAAATTAATCGTCTATAACCGTAGATATCTGAAGAATTACGAAAATCTGCAATGTTTGAATAAATATGAGTAAGCTTTCCATACGTTGGAGAGTGAAGTTGTTTACAGTTCAAATAAAACAATCTATATTTGAAAATAATTTTTTACAAGTTAAGAACATTAGTTAAAAAAATATATATATAATTTTCGCTGCAATGTGTAGCGCTTGCTAGACAGATTGCTTCAACAAATTATATACAGAATTATACACAGAATCATACCAATATGAGTGAAATAATAATCTGAACACGAGTGTGCCATTTTTCTTTGTTTAATATCGTACTGTTGTGTATTATTACGACGAGATAGATGCTGGATACGCATTTATCAGTTGACTCAGATCTCTCAGGACTCGTACGCAATACAGAGATCATCTTCTCGTTCCCTGTGATTCTGCTTTCGTGTGCCTATACATCGTACATAAATAAAGGTATCGTACCATATATTTTCGTGCGGGCTACCGTGCGCCGCGACCTTCAACAAAGGCTGATATTTTCGCGTGAGACGCAGTTTCCGCAACGGCGATTCGCTCTTTCTTTCCTTCGCGAGACCGACCTGCCGCCGTCTCCTGCTTACGCCTACAGCTTCATAACGAAGAACAGAAAGTGACGAATTGTTACAGAGTTAACGAGATAGGTCGAGATAAAAAAAAAAAAGTAACAGTCGTAAGAACGGGACGCCAGCCTCCCCGTTCGGCCTCGACCTGTACAAAAGTTCGTCGAGGTTGTTGCGTTCGTACAGTCGGAATATGGCCGACGCTCTCCCATACCCACCAAGTACGCCGAGCGGCTGCGAGTTTTGCCGAGTCAAGGCGTAAACAGCCGATCTTGCGACCGCGTACCAAACAACCCTACCTCCCAATCAGTTCCTCACGGTAAACCGGCCTGAGTGGTTCTCTCTCGTTTTGTCGGCCGTCTTTCCGCGTCCCTCTCTCTTTCTTCCTTTTTCTCTCTCTCGCGTACGCTCGCTTACGGAGCGTTCTGATCTCTCGCGTTCTCGGATTCTACGAGCTAACAACGCGTCCGAACAGTGATACCTCTTCGAGCTGGCGAGATCGTGCTCGTCTTGCGCTCGTACCCGCGATTCAAGTGCGATCGATAAGTTGGTTTTGACAAGCGCACGGACTCCGGCCGCCCCGGTGAACGAGCCACGCCGTAGCTCTCTTCCACTCTGCATCTCTGTGAGGATTGTGTCTCTTGCTTGTGGATATTACGCATCGCAGGGAATCTCTCACGCAGGTGAGGAATACCTAATGCTAGTAAGTCAGCGAATACGATGGATCGCGAAAATTGCACACGAGATTTAGAAAAGCGTGCTCGTAGCGAACGAGCGAGCGAGCGAACGTGGCATGCATGCGTGCGTATCTGCGTTCCGGGAAGAGATCGCGGTACGCAATTCTCTGAGCGCTACCGTGCTGCTCTCCGCATCTCCGTCTGACCCAAATCCACTTTTAATTCGACGTCGCGTCGCAAATCCCGTACTACGGTATATGGTTAGTCCGAAAGAAGCGACCCTGCGCAATAATGTGATGTAGTTTCGAACGAGAGTGGCTATGATAGGCATTCGACGAGGTGTCGATAAATAAGCCCTTATCTAACCGATAAGAACGTAAAAAATGCCATTTAGTCCTGTTGTCTTTCCTTTCGAAGAAAAATTCAAGCCGTCGAGTCACTTATCGTTTCAGTATAGGCAGACTTTATAGTTAATTGTTTATATTGTAATGTAATAAACGAAACATTTTAATCAGTAAAATTCTAGAAGTGAGAGTAATTGTCTTTGTTTCTTAATAAACTATGCAGATACATGCAAATAGAAAATTAAAAGCAAGACAATAATTTTCACCGGCTTCAGTGAAAATGATAAAACCACTCGTTGCAACTGTGATTTTGATTGTACCAACAGCCTAAGTTAAGCAAGCACCTCGCGTATCGAAATATGTAATCTAAATAATAATAACTTGCAAAAATGTAAACATTTAATTTCTACGAATCTTCTTTGTTGACTTGATCAACGATTAGATCATCGGTCCGACCGCGGATTAAAGATTATCACAGATTATTACATACTTAATAATTAACGATGCAGATTGAATGGTCGTGCGCGGGGCTTTAGTTGCGTGATGTGCGAACATGTTTCCATTAGCACAACCAACGCTCAAGTGTTTCGCATGTTATTTTGGCATGTTACATAATAGGCTCCATTAAATCGGAGTTGATTTATAACAGCGCATTTGTGAAATAATTCCGCAAACCGCGATACGCGAAATAATCTTCTTCCATAATGTTTCTTATCTCGAAAAATATGCATGAAATCGATATATAGTGCAGTCACATGTTTTTTAAATTACAGCTACACATCATTATATACTCAAATAACGCAAACATCTGGAAGATGTTGCACAAATGTCTAAATAATTTCCTAATTTTTGAAATGTGTTTTAGACATCTTTCATATTGCTCAAAATTATTAACGTTGCACTTTAACTCAATTATTTTAATATTATTTTCTCATTGCAGTAATAGAAATAGCTTGCCGGGTTTTATGTTTTGACGTAATGACCAATATCTTGCGGTATTTCCCCGCAATCTCACTCCAAAAAAAATTCACATTATTGCGACGTCTGACACAAGCATTGATAGTTCGCTCGCGGTCACAGCGATTACTGTGAAGATATCTTTAAAATCTACCGGGTAGATGATTTTGACCGCAGATGTATTCTTTCATGAACAGTCTAATTGCACGTTGTGGTATGGAGTTTATCGATCACCCGGTGAAAGTGACGCCTCGTAGTGTTTGATACAAATTTAGAAAGCCAACCATGCCATCCGCATCTTGATGCAAATAGCACTTCCTCGCGGTTTTACATTAGAATTTAGAGCGTTATGAATCTATTCAAGAAATATATAAGTTTTCAATCAAGAGTATTACAGTATAATGCCTCGAAAATATAGAGTTAAATTTTATTTTTAACATTAAATATTTTGATAATTATTGATTATAGATATATTAAGACTGTTATATGTATAATAATTTTATATTCCACAAGACATTATTCTCTACTTGGCTATAATTTTGCCACTGTAATCGTTAAAAATGAATCGTTAGTTTTTATCCAGCAATGTAGCCAACATGATTTGCTCCATATGCGGAACACAGATGGAGGAAACACGTCGCTTCCCGTTCTTTATACCTCGATACCGGAAATTCTGACAAACATAATACGCGGACAGGTAGGCAGGAGGATGACCGCCGGTAGAAATCGATGATTCGCTTTAACTGATTATTTGTCCACTTTGATAGTCACGGAGGAAATCGGCTGTTGCGCTTTCACGATCATTGTACTTTCTTCGGCGTCAATAATCCTTCGGAGCTTAATATTTTTATCCAATATTGTCTAAGTGAACCGCGGGAGGTCGATGCACGAGAATAACCGTGAAGGGACGCTCGCAAAATATTGAAAAGGCAATTAATTAAACGGATAGCAGTACGTAGAGTGACTTGTCGGTTTCTAGACAGCAAAAGCGTTAATAGGCTTAATGCACTTGGCAATTACTTCTTCTTACTGTAGTCTCCAAGCAACGTCAGCCGTGTATCCGCACAATACGATTAACGATTGTAAACCGATTGGTTCATTATGTTCAAATATAAGTAAAAATTAATTTCTCTTACATCTTGATGTAATTTGAATTTAATGAGATAAAGAGTATTTATCTCGCGTGGACTCTCGTTCATCCACACTTGACAAATTAAAACCAACATCTGTAATAATGAAAAACCGATAAAAGTACAAGCGAGGCATCGGAAATAGCGGAATGTCTAAATATAGATCATCCGGATATGCATTAATCGGTCGACATCGACCGACATATTAAATTATACGTCACTGTAATTACTCTCTCGCATCTGCATTCGACATTTTCTCCCAGTTTAGAAAACCGGTTCATCGTATGCCGAAGTATATATACGGGCTGCGCGGCGAGATACGAGTTTCGCGTTTGTCTACTTTCTTGTTACTGCTGATTTGAGCCATCTTGACGACAGCGAAATGCCGCGAAGGATGATGAAAAAGTTCGCGTCGCGGCTAACTTTCTCTGCGTCAGTGGTGTTCGTCACGTAAATTTCCAGCACACCTGCGCGTATTGTTTTAATTTTTCAATAATGACGTGACTCGACATCTTGCGATTACAGCAGAATTTCTGATCTTCCAAGCGCTCGAGCTTGTAATGTGTGCAATATATTGCTGATATAAATTTTTTATTTTTCTTTTAGAAAAGTATAAAAATTTTATATATGCAACATATCACATTAATATCGATCTATATAAATTATTTGATGAAATGAAGAAAGTAAATCTTTAATTTTACTGGTTTCCCAAAATCTACTAGGATAGATGTTATAATCATAATTTTATTATGCTATATGTATATATATATATATGCGTGTTTTTTCTCTTCTCTTCTAATATAGATATGTTTATCATCATTAAGATATCATGAGATAATATTTCGTTGACGATGTTGTGACTTAAGCAATTGACTCCTGGCAGTATAAATTTAGTCGCTTGTTTTACGAGAGTTTTTGACAGCTTTAATAGAGCGATATGCGTGACATAACGAGCCTAAAAATACATTGATAAAAAATAAAATTAACTTTGACTCGATAAGAAACGATTTGTAATTCGACACTAAAGCTGTATTTTATTTTTATTTTTATTTCAAAATTATCAGACATAGATATATCCGTTAGAGCGTTGATATATGACTAATTTCTAGGCACAAATTACTCTAATATCCGTACTGTGTAACGGAAACTTGAATGAAAATAATGTCCATTCTGGCAACGCGTGATTTAGAGAATTTCACTCTTTCTTACAATGCCCCAACGTATTATTATTTCGCGAGTTTCTTTCGCGGGTCACGCAAGTCTAATCATCACAATGATAAATCGTGGATCTTGACAGAATGAAAGAGTGAGGGTCTATTATGGCACGTCCATCTTCATCAAGAAACCGTACGATTATTTGTTTCTGTAAACTAACGGTATTTGAAGGTTGATTCCAGTTGGGCAAATAACGCAATTAGAATACTTCACACGAGGTCGCACGCGAAGAATTATTTTTGGGACGACGCGTACGGACAATGAGTCGAGATAAGCTTGGGAATTCTTGCTAAAGTGAATACTAATACACGATGCGCCTTTGGGCCGTTACTTTAGTGCTTTCCCCTCGTTTTTGTGAAAATGACCCCCTTCTCACACAGGCGACTATTCACTCTCCTGCGAGGAAATCCTCAATGGGGTAAAAAGAAACGTTCACACGCAGCCCGTCTCTCTTTCGCAGCATTTTCTCTCCTTTTCTGACCTCTATCTTTCTAACATGGGAACTTGGTTCCAAGTATGTACGTATAATAAAACTGTTTACCTATAGATAGAATAGCTTTTGACACCTTCGATATTTCTAACAATGTTTTAACTGTTGTCATATACTCATCTAATTATACTTGAACAGCGATAAAGATATAAAAATATTGGTTTGTATTAGTTTTATTATTATTGGTTTTCATTTTTAACTCGTTCACGTGTCCATGCTAAATAATAAAATTCCTTTTCGTATCTGTTGAGTACAGGAATCTATTGTCTTTGATATTTCGATAAAAAATAATGATACGTTTGTAAATGTAAGCACGGCTGTAAATCCGTTGTTCGTATCGACGGTATATCAGTTTAATACGCATTACATGCGTAGAAAAGTCGGACAGGTAGAAATACACTGACGAGTATTCTATTAGAAAATACGGCTTCTCAACCTATTATCATGCAGTTTTGCACAGAATCTTTATTCGATTACAAAATAAGATCTGGGAAAAACCGAGTGCCTAACACGAAGGATTGTATTGCAATTCCTGAACTCTTCAGAAACTTATCGGATAAAATCTCACATTACACTTTTATTTTGCCTTTTTACGTGAGAATCAGCTCTATTGCAACAATTATGCAAATGCAAGAACGTCTAAGAGCGTCTTGAAGCGCACATTCTTTCAAGCATCGAATAAATACAGAAATTGTATTTTTAAAACAATGAGTAATTTATATTTCAACCGAATGATATAAAAATCGAGACGTAAGCGTAACTGTTATCAAAAATTACGTATCGATTCTCGTAGGCGGGTTAAACAATTGCCCGCGGACGTCATTAGATTAGCTTGCGTTCGATTATATGCACACGATAATTATTAATTCG